CGGGACGAATTCGACACAGGGGCACGCATTCCCTAGTCCTCGCGTTTTCCAACTTGTTCATGGCTCAGTCTTCAAGATCACGCGCAGGTTCACGCATTCTTAGAGAGGCCTAGCTTTCTAGTTCGGTACTATGGAAGGTCATTCTAAACTTCCTTTGATAAATAGAAGTAAAAGAAGGAAGAAGTAGGAGCCGTAGAAATAGAAGTAGGAGTGGCAGTTGAAGTAAGCCTGGTGAGAGGGTGGTACTGCATAGAGGAACAGACACAGCATTGGTAGCCGCAACCGGTGGACTTTGCTGCTGCGCTGCCTGCATCCCATGTGACGTGGTATCCACGAGCTGAAAGATTGAAATGGCTTGTTGCCAAGGTCTCCAGGGAGAACAGTTCAGCGATTCGTCCGAACCAAGGTTGGGCACAAGGCCAAGCATCACACCAAGCACAAGTCATTTTTTCCAGCCGGCAAATACCAAAGGCATTCCATCGAAGCCAAAAGCGGCTAGGCCATACTGATAGGGCGCAGCTCACTTGCAGTGTTGACTGGGGTATCTCGTGGTTTCAGAATTGTGTCTAGAACTGGTGACCGGTGAAAGTCGGAAGTGCTCGCTGCAGTTGAAATGGTTTCCATGACTCAAGGGTACTGCAGCCCGTCCCGCGCAAGTTCAGTGACCCACCAATCAAAAAGGGAACGCGGGTGCCACTCAGAAGGCCCAAGAGACCGAAGAGGGGGCGGGTTGAGCTTGCTGAGACCCAAGTAAAACCCAGTTGCCTACGTTTTGCAAGAAGCTCATATTTCCTACGGAAAGGAAGCTTGTTCTTGAAAGTAAGGTTGCAACCCATCCAAACAGGAGAGATTGGTGCAACGATGTACAGAACCTGAAGTGCAGGAAGCTTTCCGTGACCTGGACGTTCGGACACCAGTTCCTGATTTGGCTTCAAAAGGAACTGTGTTTCAAACTCCAAGCCGCCAAACTGATTATGGCAACCTGAGGATTCATGCTTAGAAGGGCCGTTTTCCCCATTTTCAGCTTCACTTCCCATCAAGTCCTCATGAGGTTCCAGATCTGATCCTGCAAGCCTCAGGAAACCCAAGCAACGGCCGCGAAAGCCAGTCGCCCAATAAGCCTGAGCAATGTTCTAAACCCAGCTGCGGCCGAAGAGAAATATCAAATTCTTTCTGCGAAGGCTTCCGCGGAGCTTTCGCAGCATGAATGGTTCCTTCCGCAAGAGGCTTTCCGTGGATTGAGACATGGAATTGAAGTGCGTTTTCGCTTCCGCGCGTGAAGAAAAACAATCCTTGCTTTCGTGATTGAATCGTAGCCCTTCCGCGAAGCTTCCGCGAGTACATGAATGAGAAACCCCTTCCACGAACCTTGCGCGGCGCTTCCGCGACCTGGGAGAAATCAACACTTTGAAAACGATATTTTCTCCCAAATACCACTTTCAAGTGCAGGGGTTTTAGAACGTCGCTCACCTGACAAAGGGCCAACTAAAAAAAGGCGCAACAAACCGAAGAAGTGGATAAGGGCAGTAGCCGCTCCGGTGATTTAGGCTGACTTACCAAGTCCCTGATTTCAAGGCTTTCCGGGACTGCTGGTTTGGTTTGGTGGGTTGGACATTAGGGGGTGCCTTGCTCATGTGGTGTCAAACGGAGTTCGGATTCAGATCCCAAACCAAGAAAGGGAAGGTAGCCATGTGATCGGTTGGCCAAAGGCAAACACACGGTGAATGATTGGGACCCCTTGGCCAGTTTCTTGCTCACCACCGACAGTCTCTGTAAGCCAGCGGAAAATCAGTATTTTTGGTTGGTTGTCACTGACCACGAGCAGGAGCAATACAAAACAGCAGAAGAGTAAATGCGCCAGCAGCAACAGTATATACAGTGAACCCTAAAGTGACGGCGTGATTTAACAGCATCTAAGCCACCTTGAGACTGCAGTTTCAAGGAGCTCAAGTCTAGTTTCTGACTTTGAGACAATGTGACAGCAAATGGCAGAATTCCCCTGCGGGCAAATGAAGGGCATGCCTACACCAAGGGAACGAGTGCCACCTTTCACCTAGCTGCAACTTGGCTCGAATCGCACACAGAAACAGCGTGTTTGGTTTCTGCATCACATTTACGTGTCAAAATAGAGGGGCCCAACAAATTGTGTGCTGCTGTTGGTTTCCTTATTAAGTAAACCAACCCAAAAAAGGGCAACCTCTAACACACAAACAAACACAAACACACACACACACACACACGAACACAAACACAAACACAAACACAAACACAAACACACACACACACACAACAAAGAAATATATGGTGAACCCTGAGCTATACAGGCAACCCTAAACCCCAAACACCATCAAATGCATTATTGATGGAGCCTCGCCGCCTTGGCGGGCCTTGGAGGTCAACCAGTTCCATCTAGCCTTCAGGAAATGAGGACCAGAAATGGAGATCTTCAAGGGCCACCTTCCACTTTGCAGTCTGAAGCGGTTTGGACCTCTATCCCATTGACTAAAGGTTTGCCAGAAGGGGCAGAAACGCTGGTGTCTTTCGCCGGAGTAACCAAACTCCCTGGATCCGACCTGAAACTGGCGATGCCAAGATGCTTTGGCTCAGTTGACCTGGGTTGGCGGAAGCCCAGTGAAGGACATAGTCCAGCCAGCAAGCAGCGCACACCAAACACAAGTGAAGCCAAGCAAAAACAGCCACAGGCATGTAACCAAAAACAAGCACCAATATATGGGGTGCTTGTATTTTCGAGGTTGCCCTTTTCAGGCGGGTTTAAAGGGAACCAAAGGAACAACCACCAGGCTAGGGAAACCAAAAGCAACACCCACCGATCTGTGGACCCGGGATTGTGACACATACCCATTTGCCAGTGCTCTCTCTTGGCAACCAACGCCCAAGTCCCTGAGAGTCAGTCATCAGGCCCCTGGTCACATGGCATCACATGGCTATGGTGACGCCACGTTTTACCCGAACGGCACCACTTGGTTTTCGCAGGTGACCTCATCTTGTTGAATGCAGACTAGGGGAGACATCATGGATACTTGCTGGTTGTGCATCGAAAATATAAGCCCAGGGCTACTTGTCAGCCGGGTGCAGAGCCCTTTTGGTGCAAGCGGGGCCCGGGTCCCGGTGCTTCATAGGAGCTGTGGAAAAACAAATAACAAAATATGCTTACTACCGTGCAGAGGCAGAGGGAAAGCCCAGCGCAAAAGTATATGTGTGGCGCCCTACGACCCAAAGAGACAAAATCAGGAAAGTTGGCGCATTGCGAACTGGAGGCCCGGGAATACACATGCCTTGAATACCCACCCCAGCTTTTGCCGACCACATATCTTCGTTTCTGGTCCTGTGAACCTTAGGGTCGATGTAAACTTATCTCAAAAATCGCCAAACATCCATCCCACTATATCCAAAACTCTGCGATCCGAGAGTGCCGACGTTTCGAGCGGGACGCGTTCCCTGAAGTCCGGGCGGCGAAACTCCTGCGAGGCAAGCAAGGCGTCCTTGGTGACCTGCTGGGCATCCGATCCTTGGAGTGCCACATCGGGTCCCCGGATGGGCCAGTTGCCCAGTCCCCCAAAGGAAACATGAGATGTGTCAAAGGGGAACCTGAACAACTTGGCGGTTGCTAAGTTAGTCCCTTTTCTCCATTCTGACAAATGGTACTCCTGACAAAACACAAGCACAACTGGATCCCTCACAACTCCGAAGTTGGGCCCTGAGGCTCGAGAATGTACCTGCAAGCTCGTGCTAGCCAGGCAGCGCAAGCTCATCAAGGAGTCTGGGCCCTGGCAGGAAAGCTGACACCCGTTCCAGGTTGCCCTTGAAATGGGACGACCCCCACCAGAAGATCAGCTTTGTTCCGCCGCATGTATGCCCCGATGTTGACAACTGGGGTGCTGGCCCACCTAAACTAATTTCTTCTCAGTTGCAATGTCAACGTCACAAGTAATAACAACTGCTGGGTGCAGGAACGAACACTGATTCAAACTCCCTGGCAATCTGTAGCTTTTGCAGCCGCAAAAGCCAAGCAAAACCACGAGGCAAACATCCAGGAGCAGCTGGCGTAAACAACGAATACGACATATGTATTATGTGTTTCTCAAAGTAGGATCCACTAGAACGAGCTCTCTTCTTCGCTTTGCTTGCCTTTCAAGCTTTGAAACACAGGGCATTCCACTTTCTTAGGGTGCGTGCCCCCCGTATATTTAGTAGAATGCCCTGAACTCGTATGCCCTTTGTTTCTTGGTCGGCTGCGCTCCGTCAGAAGCGAATCAACTCATGGTTGGGGCACGTGAGGGGTGTATAGCTATGCATTGAAACTGCTACTTTTGGAGGCCAAAAAGAGAAATGGAGAAACCTCCGTGAGTGTTGTCAACACAAAGCATTCATAACAATACGGCCAAGTACCATGCTTCGATCTCTGAAGCATGTGGAAGGGCTTCCTAACGAACTCACCATGCCATCCCCTTCCATTGTTCTAGGGGTTGATTCCCCATTATTTTCAACCATCGTTATTTTCAAAAGCCAGCCGTTTTCCCTGGGTCTCTGGTGATGTCCTAGAAAAACAGATTCCTGAAAAGAATGGAAATGGAAGGTACTCAAAATGTTTGCGGCACTCTTGTAAAACAAAGATACTCCTGACCACAATTCTAGGAGTAATTAACCGTGGCCAGGCCCAATTTGCAAGAATGCAAGGACCCCATTTGGATGACAAAAATCCTGAGCTAATCAATGGTGGTTCTATTAACCCCCGCTTCCATTTGCTTAAGCCCCCGGGAACAAAAATATAATCTTTCCAATAGTGATAGGTTACCTTTAAAACCAACAGGGCAAACTAAAAATATCAACTGGAAGATTAACCCCATAGCAATGCTGGCAACTCAACTGCAGGGGATTTGCTTTACAAGACTGCCGCACACATCTTGCATGTCGGCCTATGGCCAGCGCCTTCGACAGTTGCAGCAGGCCATCCTGCTTGCTCACAGGCAGCTGGTTGAACTGATGGATCCTCAGAAGCAACACAGGGCTGTGGGCCAAAAATAGGTACCACAAATGGAACCCTGGTAAGTGGAAACATGGACCAAAACCTGCAGTGGGTGAAAAGGGTGGGCCATCGGGAGGGTACGTACCGTTGCTGTTCAAAGAAAGCTTACGGCACCTGGTGAGCCAAAGTTGCGGAAAAGTGTGGCCTGCGCCTCCCAAACTCAAAGTAGAATAGCAGCTGCGACACGTCAGTGAGGCGTGTGGGCACAAGGAGCTGCAGCCAAACAAGCTCTTGGGCTACGAAGGGGCGCAGTGTGTTGAGAAGTCTCTCGTGGCAAAAGCGGGTCGACATCACAAGTCCGTGCCCGGAAGCTCTGCAAATCCGAAACCTTGCGTACTTGTTGCGCCAAAAAGGATGTGATCAAACCTGCTGAAAGGTCGCATTTCGCGTCTCTACTTGTTCCACTTCGTGTCAAGCTATAAGAGAACTCACTGCTGAGGACACAACCGCGCAAGAGGGGCTCGCTGGAGCTTCCCGAAGGGAAGCTCTACGCACGCAGCTGGGCCCCCAAGGACGCGCGACGTGCCCGAAGGGCGAGTTAGTGTGTTCCTGAAAACTCCAGGTGAAAGCGCAAACCAAAAACAAACAGGTTGTACATGTGATTAACTGTGACAAAGACTTGAACGCGAACTTTACTTTGCAAAGCACTGTGAGGCCGGGCTTGGCTGGAGAGGGGATCTTCCAACGTCTGGCTTCATTGCAACGCAGAACATGATGCTCCTTGTGATGTCTAACATGCCTCCTGCACAGCATCTCTGGCTCACACTCATGGTTTTCTTGCACAGCTTTCTCAAAATGCAACCTCTTATGAACTAAGCTGGTTGGGTCCAATGGCTCCGTGCTTCGCTCGAGTCAAGACAACGTGACGCTCCTTTATGACGCCATCTAATACCACTCCTGGCAGCCAACACAACCGCACTTCAAGCAGCCTAAATCGAGACACAAAGCGCAAGAAGAAAAAGCCAGGATGCTGAGCCAGGCAAGCGCTGGATGAGTGACTTTGATAGTTGCTTGGCAAGCTGCGCACAGCTTAGCTGCGTTTTTCACGGAGTCATTGAGTTGAACCCCAAGAAGCCACTTTTGGAGAGGATCTCTATGGAAACGTCTCCCTGTCGAATTTCTTCCAAGAAAAGAACAAATCAGGGAAGTAGCACGAAGACAAAGCGAGTTTAACGCGCGAAGTGCGAGCCGAGCGTCAACTTGGTCACGTCCAAGCTGAAGGCCGCCAGCAAACATGGCTCATCCTCCAGGATGATTTCACCCTGCCGAATCGCGACCTTGGATCGGAGTGGGGTTATGGTTGGGTGGGGTGATCTGGTGTAAATTCTGGAACATGATGAATCAAGGAGGCAGTGGTCGCAGAAAACCCACCATGAACATATTAGGCGCCCGGGTTAGTAAGAACAAGCATGGGGCGCACACCCCTTGCAGCATGGACCCAAAAAAATAGCCACTTGCAAGAGTGAGCTTTTGTATTATTTTGACGCGCGCCGCGGTGCACGTGAGAGTTTTCTAAAATAGGGACCTTGAATATATGGCCATGGGTCAAAATCCCGTACCCCCATTAAACATCCCAATCGCACCTACCCCCAAATTGGTACCATTGGTTTTGACCCATATGTTGGCTTCAGTTTGTTTCTCTGTTGAATGCCTGCCTCCTTTGCTTGATCTGAGCAGCTTTGGCGAAAAGGCCTTGCCCTTGTTCCGGCCGCGAGCATTTGACCTCCACGGGGTCTTCCAGGACTTTGCCAGAAGCCTCCACAGGCAAAATCTTAGTAGAAGTTGAAGTCTAGAGACCTATGCAAGTGTGCAACCCCCTTTCGAAGCGTGGCGCCCTTGAATGAAGTCAGGGGGTCAGTTTAGAAACATCTCTTTGAGCTATAGTCGATCTAGCGCAAGCCAGACAATGGAAAGTTGGGACTGCCCCCTACCAACCTTCTATAACCTTCTACTCAGGTTTTCACTGTGGCTCGCTCGAAAAGGTTGTTCTATTATCACACCTAATGGACCATGTATCGCCAAAGACAACAAAACACCCCTCATAAAATCCGTGGCACTTTCTGCGGTGTTATCTCGAAATCCAAAGGCATCTCGCTTTCAGATTACAGGCCTAAGCATCGTCCAACAACTGAATTGGAAAGCTTGAAGCAAACGAGATCACGATAATTATTTCCTTCCCATAAGACACATCCCCCCAGCAAAAATGATTCTGACTCGCAAAAGGGCAGACCAAAAGGAATGACTCCCATGCAAGTTCAGCTCGAATGATGGCATTTGGGCTGCGTAGACTTGCAGGGAAGGAAGGGCTCCCTATGCGTCACTTTTGAATATGCAGTGCAATTGGACTGCGAGCTCCTCGAAGTCGCCCAGCGCAGCTGTGCAAGAACAAACTAGTTCAGTTTGTCGTTTTGCGAGCACAAGAGAATGATGGGCTTGCTCTTTGCATTTTCCTCGTCAGGAACCTCGCGCACCACTCGAAAATTGAGACAGCTTATGACGAGGCTGGCCAGGTTGGCGCCATCTTGAACTGATACACCCTGTCGCTCGCAGCGTGTGTTCTGGCGACACGGGGCAAGGTGACAGAAACAGGTCACAAAAACAGAAGGCAGGCAGGGTGAAGCCATCAGTCTCAAACCCCCAGAACGAAACTCATTTCAAACTGTCCGACAGATGACGTTTAATTCACTTCCGATCGAGCAAATTGGCCAACAGCAAGTAAATTGGCCACAAAAGTGCTGATTACCCACTAGATCCCGGGAAAAGAAAGCAGCCCCTGACTGATAAACTAGTTGGTCTAGGTCCTCCAGTAGAGAGGTTAGAATAAGGGTACCCAATTTTCTGTAGTCTATTTTAGTAGGTGAACCCTCCCAACCAAAAAAGGGGGTGAGAGAGGGCACCTAGCTGGGGGACCGAAGTGGTTGATTCACTTCCATTTGCTCAAGGCCCCAGGAAAAAAACAACAACAAAACTATATTTCCAGTAGTGATGAATTCCTTTGGACACTAACTTAGGGATTTTTTCTTAAAAAAAGAAAGAAAAAAAACATATTTCCAGTAGTGATGAATTCCTTTGGACAGCAACAAGGGATTAAACAAAGAAAAACATATTTCCAGTAGTGATGAAATCCTTTGGACACCAACAAGGGATTTAAAAACCAAAATAATAAATAATAATAATAATAATAAAAGATAAGAAACACGTATTCTTAAGTGAATGGAGGTGGGTCAACCTGAGCGGGACCCCTGCGTCGCACCTCGTCGCTGAGCTCCTTGGAGTGAAGTAGCACTGGGGCGGGGGATCCGTCTACCTGGACGGAACCAAACCCGGCGAAAGAATCCCCGCGTCGCCTCATTGCCTCATCCCCTCCCCCCGGGCCCCGCCAAAAAACAAACGGAAGAAGGAACTCGTCAATTTCGGCGGTTTCTGAACAAAATAAGCAAGTCTAGGTCAAGTTCACAAACTACAATAAATAAGTACACCTTGGAATTTCCAGGAACGACAAAACACAAGGTATGCTGCGAGTTGGCAACGAAACTGATCTTGATGACTTTGCGGCCCCTCTTGGAACAAACATCTGGGGCGATGATGGGAATGATTCACACCCCAAAAACGGCCCCGTGATGAAAGAACCTTTTATCACGGTTCCGGCAATGAAAGCATGCGTGCGCCACTTCGAAAGCATGGGAAACTGTGATTCGGGCACGAGCCTGTGCCCAGGCAATGGGTTAGTTGGGGTAAACAAGCCACAAAAGAAAGGTTCCCCAAAAGCAAACCAATCCCCGGTCCCAAAGATCAGGGTTTCCCACACACCAGAGAACAACAACCAAAGGGAAACAAACCAAACAAGAAAAGGGTTAACCCGCAACCTTGATCGACAACAGGCCGCACGACTGGTCCCTACCAACCTGGCGGCGGCCCGAGGTCTCTTTCTCCCCCGAGATGCCGTCGGTCGACGCAGGGGTTCGGCGACGCCCATTCGAGGCGCGACGGAACCCGTAACTTGAGCCAAAGTGGCACCGGATAGTTGCTATCGCAAAATGCCGGTAGTCACCTGAAATGCATGGCTAATCACACCCCCCTCACGAGGAGTCCGTCATGTGACGGGCGGAGCGTGCCATTTACTGATAGGATTTAACTGCTCGCATGTGTCCGCAAACAGCTGGACACTACCGCCGTCAGCGGTGGAACAAACCCACAAAGGCAGTTGCGCGACATCCCGGGCATTAAATTCCCGCCACCACCCCGAATTAATCGGGGTAACGCTGTCCAACACACCTTGTGAAAGAGTCCACATGACGGCACTAGGCCACAACTGTTTGCATCAACAATGCAAGAAGTTTAATTCTTATCAGAAGCCATGAAACAAAAGATAACGTATGTCCATTAGTATCCTCGCCTATCGGCAAGAGGTACTCCTGACCATGCGTACCTGAAAAATGCTTGAATTCCGCAAACCCGGGAGTACCCCCCCATCAGTTTGCTTTCCCTCTCACTCATACTGCTTCATGATGAACACGACCAGCAGCCGAGCAGCGGTATGGGAGAGACATGATCTCCGCGCCTCAGCGGTTCGGGAGGAACATCACCACCTCCGAACCGCGCCGACCATTGGAGAATGGACGCAAGCCTATCGGCCGCAATCCTCGTGACTCAGCCTATCGGCTATCGTCACGTCTCCTCCGGTCACGTCCGCCCCGCGCACGGTCTCTATCACGATCCCTCTCGGATCTCCTGCGATCATCTCGCCTTCGATCTCGCTCCCGGTCGAGTGAGTCATCATCACGACGATCACGAGTATCGTCCCTCCTCCGGTCACGATCTTCGTCACGCCGCGGACGGTATCTGCGCCTTCTCGACTCTCGGGAATCCCTAGTGTCCACGGTCCTAACGGACCTCCGAGAAGGAGTGCGGGAAACGTCCGAGTCCCTACGTCTCCTCCCAGAGCGAGAGTTCGTCACGATCTGATTGAGAGCCTCCAGTGCTGAAGCGTCTTCACCATTTCTGATGAAATCCCTGACTTGCTTGTTCAGCACTCTATTGGTGGAAACCGACAGGAGGGCGTCCACCACCGAACTCTCAGGCAGCACCAGGAAGTGACCCTCCACCGGGCTCGCCGCAGCTCGCTCAGCCGACTGCAACCTGATCTCACCACCTTCAGGCCTCTTTGCCATTGCCTTGGAGGCCGTCAGAGGCGCTACCTCGTCCTTTGCCGAAGACCTACCAAGCGCGGAGTGAAGATCATCCCCACTTGCCTCTCTCGCTGCCGCACCTGGTCTGCTGTCAACGTCATCAGGCCTCGTCGATGCCTCCCGCTTCGTCGACTCCTTCAGAGTCTCATCGGGATCCCAACCAAACTTCCTTTCTCTCTTCTGCCCTTCAGCCAAGCCCCGACTACCGCCAGGAGCGTCGTCTCCGCCTACCTTCTCCTTCTTGACCTCAACCTTTGGCTCGGCCTGCTTCGTCTCCTTAGCCTCAGCCTTCGGGGCCGGAGCACTCTTCGCCTCAGAAACTGAAGCTCCTTCGGCTCGGCTTTTGGGACCGGAGTCATCTTAGCCTTCGCACTCGGCCGGGCTCCTTCAACCGCTATCGCGACCCAAGTCTTCTTCGGTTGAGCCTCAGTTGCATCAACCTCCATCGGAGCCGGCCCAGCATCAGACTTTGCTTTTGCCTGTGGGACAGATGGACTATCGCCCTTACCAGATCCTTTACCTGGCACTTCACCTGACTTTGGTGGTGGGCCGGAAGGACTACCGCCCTTACCGCCCTTCTCTCCCTTCTTGCCTTTCCCTTTTCCGCCCTTGGCGATCGGCTCCTGCTTAGGACCAGGGCCCTGCGCAGCATGATGCACCGACTGGAGCTCTTCAACGTTCACCTCCAATGGCTCCGGCTGACGACCATCAAGAACCGTCCTCACCCTCTCGTCACTAACGTATACGAATGGGTCACGGAAGGGGGCAGGAGGCTCTGATTGCCCAGCATTGATTGCCTTCTGCACCTTGGCTACCGCCTCCCTCAATCTCTTCTTCTCATCGTATCCTGTCGCTGAGACCAAGTACCTCCTGAGGTCTGCTATCAACGCATGACTAGCCAGGATGTCCACGTCCTTCCGGTGGGTCGGATACAAGGGAGTCAGATGACCCGCCGCACCACCAATCACGTACGCCATCGGGATATAGAAAGACAAGTACGTGTCATGGCGGGCGAACTTCCTAACGGAAGTCGTCATACGTCTACCCCACTGAGCCGCAGGTATTGGATTCGCTCGGAAATACTCAGTGACCGAATCAAATCTATCGACTTGATTGGTCTTGATGAGGTGCTTCGCCACCCACTTCTCCACAAACGCGTCCGAGGCCGAAATCCCTGACACATAGGAGAACTGAAAGAGCACCTTCGCCAGTTCATCCCACGCCGCATCGACTCCTCCCTTGTCCTCACCAAGATAAGGAGGCAGTCTTATGCCGCTCTGCACCGTCATCCTCAGGTCAGACGCCATCGAATAGGAAATCAAATTCCTCTTGATAACTCCGACCACTTCGGTTGGGATCCTCTTGGGCTTGAACTGCATCATACTCTTCACCCAGTCCGGGATGATGCCGCACCTCTCGAAGTCATCTTCGTCCGCGTTGGGGATGAAGTTTGGGTAGAATACCGGGAGCGCACACCCAGGGCACAAATGCATCCCATTCGGCGTCATCTCCGCGCACCTCAAACAGAAGGTGGTGGTCACGTTCAACCTGACTTCCTCACGCGACCGCTTGTGCTCCCCCCTATCGGGGGTTAGGTCACCATAGTCCCAGGCCCGATGATACACTATCGTGTAATCATCGAACATGTACGCAGCCTTCCACGCACCCATGTGGATTTCGTTCCGAACAGCAAGGGTCTTTCTCCCTGTCAGAAACACAGGTCCAACCAACGACCAATGTACCCGAAGGTCCACTATAAGGTCCACTATGACCACCACGTACCTACCTGAGTAGTTCCGCAGCCTGTCCCTGACGTACCACGATGGCGATACCTCGGCGTTCGGCGTCATAGTTTCCACAATTGGAACCAGGCCGTCATCCAACCTTCCATCCCCAATGGTCTCGTACATATCGGGCCTCGTGATCAATATCTCGATCAAGGCTTTTCCGTTCCGCCTCACCTTTTGGAGCTGGACTGCCTTCCTGAAGTCCAAGAACTTCATGATGACATACCCCACCATAGGGAGTTCATTCCAGTGCATCTCGTACATCAGAGACCCGCCAGGTGCATCCTCTTGAGTATATCTTTGCCGAACGGCACTGAAACTCATGTCTCGTCCGATTCGCGTGTACCTAACGGCCACTAACCTAGTGCACTCCCTGAGGAGGACATCATCTCCATCATACATGATCATGAGCATTGTCTCAACTTGCCCTATCGGGAAAGCTTTGATCGTCGGAATAAAGAACTGCCACGACATCTCAGCGTTCTCCATGCCCGTGACCTCTCTCAGGAACCAGATGGCCTGGTCACTGCTCACCCAGTTTCCAGCCTCTCGTCCAGTTTCCTTCAGCACCTTTTCCTCGAATAACTCCGAGACTCTTTTCGAGTTGATGACCAATCCTTCAAAGTCGCACGAGAGCAGCTTCATCAACTCTTGAGCCGCCTCCCGTCCTGCGACGGTGGTCGCGGTCCCTTCGTAGTTCGGAACGTACTCGCTCAACCTTGTCTTCGCTGGGACCACGATCTGGCAAGTAATAGCCTCATCAGGCACAACCCCAGTAGCCCGCAGATTTGGACTGACCTCCTGCCTATCGGCGAGATAGTCCTTCTTTCCGTCCATGATCACGAGGTTGTTATGTCATCTTGCTTGCCGCTTCGCTCGGACGGAACTTCCTGCTTGCGTCAACCTGATCGGGCGCAAACGGCCCGCTGGGAGCAGTCGCGCTGACCATTGGCGCTCCTCGCCCAGAGCATGGGTACTTCTTGTGGAAATTCACCATCTCATTCAGCTGCGATAGGGCATAAGCTCGATCCTCCGGTGTCGCACTCTTCATCCCGGCCTCAGTAAGAGGAGCTTCAGGCTTGTCATAGCTCGCCTTCCCGCCCCATCTCGCCGCAACCAGTTCAGCAGACTTTGCAGGGTCAAGCAAGTTGCCCGACCATCCAGGCATGTCACTCAGCCTCTTGGTCAACGCGTCTATCGACGCAGTCAAGTCCTCACTCGTCACCGTGTGCGGGTCGACCTTCTCCCTGTCCTCCTGACCAACGTCAGGAAGCCTAAAGTCCCCGCGGATGGCCTCCATCGTACCCCGATAGGGGCCTTGATTTCAACCG